GTGAGGGGTTTGGGCGTTCGAGTTTAAGACTTGTGACTCCAGGGGGTTCATTGCCCCCGCTCCCACCCTAAACCCTAAGCGTAGTGCATACCGCCTGCCTTCGTATCAAGTGGCAACGTGTCGAAATGGCCCGTTGGCAAGTATCCTAAACCCTAAAGCAATAGACAAGCAAGCACGCCTGCGAGTAAGCAGCGAGCAAAGAAGCGTCCGACCGACAGCAAGGAAGCAGATGCAAGCAAAAACATCTGGTCACTTCTCGAAAATATCCGAAGGCGGCCCCGAATATCTAGGGTACCCCAGAAGGGACCACAGACTTCGAGAACTGACCATGTGTAGGACTGACTGACAAGCAAGTGGAAACAATGCTCTCCCGTGCTAAACGTCAGCATGTCATGTCTGGACGAATCCGCTGGCGCACGCTCGGGCTAACCTTGTTGCAAGAGCACACCTCGAGCTCCCATAACAAAAAGCTTTGCTTGGGATATTCCCCCTTGTGCTACCAGTCCTTGATAGGGATGATAGTAGGGGTACTACAATCCCTGATGAAAAGACTGCCAGTATAAGAGGAACATCTCAACGCTTTGACAACACCCAATCTGAGCTTGTGATTGGTAGCCCCAGGCCAGGGGTGGTATATGATGGGTCCACAAGGCTTTGGTACTTGGGTCTAGGGTTGAGGCTTGCAGGGCCTGAATATAGGGACTAGCTTGGTACACGCGTGCGGCATAGCATGCCTCTTATTGTGTCTGTCAAGGTCATCGTTCGGTCAGGTTGTACATGTGGGCCCATCACCGGCCGATTCCAATCCGGTTCTTGCTTGAGGGACCCTAAGCCCTAAACCCGAAACCCTAAACCCTAAACCCTAACCCTAAACCCTAAACCCGAAACGCAAAGAAACCCGGCCACTGCTCCCATTCCACCTGCAGCCATGTGCCCTAAAAGACAGATGCGCAGAGTCTGCTTGGACTGCCATTTAGGGGTAGGTGTGGAAGTTCTCGAATTATACGAAATTTACAGGGATTCTAGACATCATATGGATGAAGTACCCCAAAAGTGTGGACAAGAGCCAGGCAGCTACCCAACCGCAGGTATTGGGCCACTTCACCCCGAAAGCCTCAACCCCACACAGGGTTTAGGGTTCAGAGGGTACTACCTCCAAGAGAAGTCACCCAAATCAAGCTGAGCTCCAGCACTAGAAGGTCCAGTGGCCCCTAAGGCCCCCGAAGCCTCCCCAACAAAAAGCACCCTAAACCCTAAACCCTAAACCCCTAACCCCTATAACCCCCTAAACCCTAAACCTTAGAGCGGCCTGCTACTGGAAGAGGCAAGAACAGGGTAAGCAAAGCATGAAGAACAAGGTAAGCTAGGTGAAGTCTTGGGAGTGTTCCCCCTTATACTGACAGATTCTTAATTATAGTACCCCCCGATTAGAATCTTTATTAATTACTAGCGGATCCTGAATAGGGATTATCGTACCCCCCCCCCCCCCCCAATTAGAATCCTTATAAAGGGCCGCTAGTATAAGGGGAATATCCCAAGCGAAGTCTTGTATTCTTGTAAATGCGCGGACGGTTCTCCCGGCCAGAAAAAACCCTAAACCTTGGGATGTTCCCCCTTATCCTAACAGTCCTTCTGGGGGTACTCTAGTCCCTATTAACGGCTGTTAGGATAAGGGGGAACATCCCAAACCCTAAACCCTAAACCCTAAACCCTAAACCCTAAACCCTAAACCCTAAACCCTAAACCCTAAAACCCTAAACCCTAAACCCTAAACCCCGAACCCCAAACCCTAAACCCTAAACCCCGAACCCCAAAAGAGCCCTCCGCCTTGGCGCAGCCCCGTTCCGTCAGGCGCAGGAGCGCTGCGGCTGACAGGGGCGCCAGAGCTGCCTGCTAGGGTTAAAGTTTAGGGTTTAGGGTTTAGGGTTTAGGGTTTAGGGTTTAGGGTTTAGGGTTTAGGGTTCAGGGTTCAGGGTTCAGGGTTCAGGGTTTGGGGTTTAGGGTTTAGGGTTTGGGGTTTAGGGTTTGGGGTTAACATTGCTTGGCTTCCACGGCCTCCACCCTAGGTCTGAAGCTGAAGCTGTTGCGCTGGCTTCATCATGGCGCCCTGGCAGTGCCTCCTGAGAACACTATCGTGTCTAGCATTCCCAAGACTGCCGGGACTCTGCCCAAGTCGGGGAAATCTTTCGGAAGCCCCTCCAAGATGGCTCCCAGCATCTTCGCTTTCGCTCCGGTAGGGATTTCCTCACTTGCACTCGAACTTGCATCGAGGTACTCCTTGTACACAAACACCACGCTTGCGGCTTCGCCATCGGTGAGCTGAGCTCCTGCTACCTCCCCGGCACCTTTCCTGAGCTCTGCATGGATCTTTGCAACCAGCTTAGATCCAAAGCCCCCGCGCCTGTCCCAGCTTTGAAGATTCCTCAAGACAGTCCTCACGCGGAGGAGATTGTCATCATTCAAGTTCGCCGCGTCAGAAGGGACAAGGGGAGGGGGGGTTTAGGGTTTAGGGTTTAGGGGTGGGGGTTCGGAATTTAGGCTACAGGGATGGAGGGATTTGGGGTTATGAGTTTAGGAAAATGAACCACGAAGCACAAACCCCACGGTACGGCCCAGAACCCTAGACCCCAAAAGGCCCTAAGCCCAACCCCCCCCGAGCCTCAATCCGAAAGCCTAAGCCCAACAAGCAGCCCCTCAAGCAGCCGACATGAACAGCCTCAAGGGTGACTTAACCAGGAATCCATGCTTGGGAAGGTTAGAGGATGCTTGGGGTTCCCTGGGTATAGGGGCTAGGGTTTCGGGTTTATAGGGTTTACCCCTAAAACCCACCAACACAACAAACACCGCAAGTCCCTAAACCCAAAACCCCTAGACACCCTCAACCAAAAGACCCCTAAATCCTAAACCCAAACCCCCAAGGCCCCATCGTAAGAATCCCTCACCCCGCAAAGCCAAAAAAAACATGGTTGGCCTTTCTAAACCCTCTGAAAAACCAATCTAAAGTGTGATCCTCTTAAACCCAACAGGGGAGCACACATATGCACATGTCTATATCTAGATACATACTTCTATACCTGGGACCCTATTTACCTGCAGCTTAATAGGAAGTACCCCCCCCCCCCCCAATTTAGTAGGTATGACCCGTAAAACTGTAGGTAAATAGGGTCCCAGGTATATGTCTCTCTCTGAGGGCCTGCACACAACGGAAACATCAAGGGCAACCTGGGAATAAAAAGGGGGCCCTCTTTGGTTTAACGGGGGGCCTCCTCTGTGTCCTAGTTGCCCGAAAACCTAAGGCCTGAACCCCAGATCCTAAACCCTAAGTTTAGGGTTTAGGGTTTAGGGTTTAGGGTTTAGGGTTTAGGGTTTAGGGTTTAGGGTTTAGGGTAAGCCCTAAACCCTAAATGAGGGCCTACCCGGGGTCCGAAATAAGGGCCTAGCCAGGTAATGTCTAAACCCTCTGCCGACCTCATGGTCTTTCGCCTCATTCTTCGGCGACCTCAACGACTCCCAACTAGGGTTTAGGGTTTGGGGTTTGGGGTTTAGGGCTTGGGGTTTAGGGTTTAGGGTTTCGGGTTTAGGAGTGGGACTTGGAGTGTTCGGGATTTCGGGGCTTCGGGTTCAGGTGCTTCGGAGGTTTAAAGGGACTTAGGGTGTAGGTTTAGACCTTGGGGGGGGGGATAACATGAGGTAGGATGATCGCACGGGGTTCAGCGCCTCCCTCAGAACTGGAAGGTGTTGAGGGTTTACGTCCAGATTCCTCATATACTTATAGTTGTTGAAATAATAAGTAGGGGGGGAGGAAACATCCATATAACCCGCAAAAACTGAGACTGTTGAGGAGTTCTTAGGGCAGACGAGACCAGGCCACATAGCAGCCTAGGGGAACCGAAAAGGTACGCTTACCCTAAACCCTAAGCCCGAAACCCTAAACGGCAAGGGGTGGGCCGAAGTCGCAAAACTAAAGCGCCGGAACAGGAAATGAGGGTCCAAACGCGCTCCCAAAACCCCCGGCAACCCCAAACCCACTTGTGTGCTAGAAGCCCGATAACCTTTGAGCCCCATAAAGTTCCCATCTAGGGTTTAGGGTTTAGGGTTTAGGGTTTAGGGTTTAGGGTTTAGGGTTTAGGGTTTAGGGGGTGTGGGTATAAAACCCTGAGCCCCAAGCACTAAAGCCTAAACCCTAAACCACCCTGCGACTGTTTTTCTGCTTGCGCTGCGCGCGCAGGGGGAGCTGGTGCCTTCGCGGTTCAGGGTTTTTTGGGGTTTAGGGTTTCCTTGGGAGGGATTAAACATTTAGTAGGGTGCGATCCTACATCCCTGGCTACCATGTACTTGAGATCCCAAGAAGTCAAACATGTTATTCCTTAAATGGGCAATACAGTCAGGGATTATCTGCTTTTATTTTCTGGAAGGGCGCCTCTGCAAGCAATGGCTGAGTCCCTACTTCCCTAAATCCAAGAAGGCAAATCTGGGTTAAGGCTGCGAGGTTTAGGGCGTTCCGGCGTATGGAGGGGGCACAAACTATTCCTAGGGTTTAGTGCTTAGGGTTTAAGTAGGGGGGTGCACAGATTTTGCACAACTCACAGGCTCATGTCGTGAACCTGCATGCTCAGCCACGCCCTAAGACCTACACACTCAACCCCCTGAAGCTACCCCAAAACCCCACACCGCCTAACCCCTGAACCTAGACCTAAACCCCTATTAAACACCCATACCACCCTCAGCGTCCATGTACCTAACTAGGGAATACTTGTTCCAGAACGTACTTCCCATACAGGGACTTTGGGGGCCCAAGTAATTCAAAATAAATGAGGTACCTGGACCCTTAGCCTAGACCCCAAACCCAAATAGGCGCTAAACCCCCCCCCCTAAACCCTATAACCCTATAACCCTATAACCCTATAACCCTCTAACCCTATAACCCTAAACCCTAAACCCTAAACCCTACTGTAAACCCTAAACCCTAAACCCCCTCAACCCCCATAGAAAGGGCGGCCTCACTGGCACGCATAGAATCGGGGGATGCCCGGCCGCAGCGCTTCGTTGATTCGCGGGCACACGTCCCGGTTCCAGGCCTCTTTGCTTTAGGGTTTAGGGTTTGGGGTTTAGGGTTAGGGTTTAGGGTTTAGGGTTTAGGGCTATAGGGTTTAGGGTTGCTCTCTCCGGACTGGATGGGTTTTGTGGGTCTTTTTGGGCTTCAGGGCCCACAAGGCTTGTAGCGCTGGTACATGTACGGCTCAGTGTCTACGGTCCAGGGCCCTGAACCCTAAAACCCTAGCCCGGGCGTACTGGTAGGGCTAGGAGATTCAGGGGAGACGTCGCCCTGCCGTGTAAGCTAGCATGAGGGGTTTAGTGTTTAGGGTTTAGGGGTTGCCGAAAATTCGGGTGACCTGTCTCAAGGGGTCTCATGATGAGGTTTACAGCACTTGAGGGCTTCCTTGGCTTGTCTTTCTTTCTCGTCCAACTTTAAGACGAGAGTTCCCTAACTTAGGAAACTCTCCGCTTTGAATTGGACAAGACAAGCCAAGGAAAACACCTACAAGCCAAATACATAGATGCGATCCACCCCCCCCCACCCCCAGAAAGTTGTCGGGCCTTTACCCTTAACGGATACTCAGGTTAGGGTCTTAACTTTATGTCAGGGCTTTAAGAGCTGACTGAGTCTTGAGGCCCTCAACCCCCCGATTCCTAAACCCTAAACCCCACATCCAAAACCCTGAAGCGCTTTAAACCCTAAACCCTAAACCCTAAACCCTAAACCCTAAACCCTAAACCCTAAACCCTACACTCTAAACCCTAAACCCAAAATCACAGAATTTACGGGGGGCCTCCACTTTCTCAAGGAGGCCCTTGGCCGATGTGTGCACGAAGAAGACCTGAGGATCATCGGCTGCGATCCGAGACCCTGCCCATTCCGTTTTTTTTTTTTTTTTTTTTTTTTTTTTTTTTTTTTTTTTTTTTTTTTTTTGTTTTTTTTGTTTGGGGGGGGGGCTGTAGTGCTAGGGTTTAGGGTTTAGGGTTTAGGGGTTAGGGTTTAGGGTTTAGGGTTTAGGGTTTAGGGTTTAGGGTTTAGGGTTTTAGGGTTTAGGGGGGGGTTGTAGTGTTAGGGTTAGGGTTTAGGATTTAGGATTTAGGGTTCAGGCTTCAGGGCTTAAGGTTCAGGATTTTTCAGTTGCTGAGGCTCTGAGGTTTGGGCTTTACGGGGCTGAGGCTTTCGTCAGGGCTGTAATATAGGGGTCGGAATCATTACGAATAGCATTCCCTTCTATGGCCCTATACTAGAATAACCCCCCCAAAAAAATAATAATAAAATAATAAATTCCAATTCTTAAGGCCACTTAAGGCCACTGTATTTAGCCTTGTTTATGCCCCACGCGTTGGAAACCCTAGGTCCAAAGCAATCCTCGACAGGCCCTTGTGGGCGCGCGAGGCTAGCAACAAATTGAAATGTTGTGAAGGAGTGGACTGCCAATCTGTACTACCTGAGACTTCAAGGGCTATACCTGCTAGATACCTGCTGGATTGGGGGCAGAGAGGTACTTACTACTCTGTAGGTAAACAGGGTCCCAGGTATACCTTGAGGGCTGAATACCCTAGCCCAACAAAGGTTAACCGCTTATTTGTTCTAGGACTACAATACAACCCAAAAGGCTAGAGCTTAACTACTCAGCCCCTAAGACACTGAGACTGCCCCTCAAAAGAAGTCACAAAGATGACAACCTGGGAACCTTTTTACCTACAGATTCGTAGCAAGTACCCCCTATATTCAGTAGATTACAATTCTAAAACAAACTCTGTGGGTAAGAAGAGGCTCCCGGAAAAAAAAAAAAAAAAACTTTGCTTATAGGCAGCCAGGCACGTCCCTGTGCAGCTGCGTGGCGTTGACGTAGCCGCGAGACGTCAGGAGGGACGCCACATTCGCGAAGCTGTTGTCGTTCTGTTCCACCAGGATGGTGTCAATGGACACAGCATTCCAGTCCTATACATTCCTAAACTCCAACCAGGTTACCAGTACCAGAGTAGCAGATTTGCGTTCAGCATTTTGGTTACCCTAAACCCTGAACCCTACACCTCAGAATCGCTAAAGTTACCCTAAACCCTAAACCCTACACCACAGAACAGGAAAAGGCTACCCTAAACCCTAAACCCTAAACCCTAAACCCTAAACCCTAAACCCTAAACCCTACACCTCAGAATAGATAAGCGACAAAAATGCTAGTCCCTAAGGGTACTCAAGAGTCGATGCCCTGAAGGCAAGCAAGCTCGGCGCCTTCGACCTTACTTGCTCTGGGACCCCTTAGAGTTTCGGGTTAGGGTTTAGGGTTTAGGGTTTAGGGTTTAGGGTTTAGGGTTTAGGGTTTAGGGTTTAGGGTTTAGGGTTTAGGGTTTAGGGTTTAGGGTGTAGGGTGTAGGGTCTAGGGTCTAGGGTTTAGGGTTTAGGGTTTAGGGTTTAGGATTTAGGGTTTAGGGTTTGGGGTTTAGGGTTTAGGGCTTAGGAATCTCTAACTACGGGCCCAACTTACTCTCGGCTGCCAGGGAAGGAGGGAAAGGCAGCAAAGTTGTTCCGAATAGTATGACAAATATGATGGTTACTGATACAAATGCTGCTGCTTTCCATTTCTTCATGCTAGTGATGTTAAGTAGTCATTGCAGCCGGTAGTTGTTCAAAAACACGCATGGGCCATCATCACTTGCAGGACCTTACGGTTCTGAGCTGAGCGTCAAACCCTAAACCAAATAAACCCTAAACCCTGAACCATAGAAACCCTAAACCCTAAACCCCAAAGTCTTAAAGTAAGCTCGCCTAGAGCTTGGTTCTTCCGCGGGGGCTACCTGGGCTTGAGCCGCTTGACTGCCTGGAGGGGGTTTCGGGTTTAGGGCTTAGGTTTAGGGACTCCCGTTGCTTGTAGATCCTTGTTTTGGGGAGAGGCGGGGGGGCACCTAGTTATTACGTAGGAAATTTAGGGCTTCAGGATTTGCGGATACATCATTCTTGTACATGGGGGGTATCCTACCCAGTTTTGGAGTTTAGGGATGTATCGACATAGAGTTAGGTACCGAAAAGCTAGCAACGGCAATTTGGGGCTCTAGCTGGAGGTTCTACTTGGCTAGTTTACAAAATCTAAACCAAAGAAAATATTCAGTTTGCAGCAATCTGGCAGCAATGCCTACTTAGTGATCTTATAACGTTAAAGTTACAAGTCAATACAGCCAGTACCTCCCCTGAGCCCTACAAACAAACCCCAAACGGTAGACCCGAAAAACAAAAAGATCCTGACCCTAAACCCTAAACCCCAAACCCTTAACCCTCAATGCGCTTCCAAGCTACGTCCAAGCTCATGAAGTCGACGTGGGTCATCTGATACTGCCGAAAGATGTCCGACAGTGTCTGACACGTCCTCGGTCGGCCCCTCAAAACTCTGCACAATTGGGTTGGGCCTTGGGGTTTGGTTTTTCGGGAAGGTTTCCGAAAATAGGGGGTGCCCTTTTTGCGGGGCCCTTTAAGGTGGGGGAAAAAGGGGTACCCCTATTTTGGGAAATGCCCAAATTTCCTGAATCAGACATGCCGTCCTTCTTACATGGGAATCCTACTATTTGGTGACTATATTACGGGCACATTTGTTCAATAAACCCCCACATGCCAACACCTCCCAATGTCCGACCCTAAACCCTAAACCCTAAACCCTAAACCCTAAACCCTCTAGCCTCATATTCCTGGATCAGACGTGCCCAAAATCTCCCAATGTCCTCTCAGAGTGTCAGAGTCGTCCTCTTGCCACCCCCGGCCGTCTTCTTCATGAACTTCCTCTCACTCTCGATGCCTCCAAAGGGCCCCTGGAGAATGAAGGTGACATCCTTCTTTGTCCTTGTAAAGGGTTTAGGGTTTAGGGTTTAGGTTTAGGGTTTAGGGTTTAGGGTTTAGGGTTTAGGGTTTAGGGTTTAGGGATTAGGGTTTAGGGTTTAGGGTTTAGGGTTTAGTAAGTGCCCCAAACCATATAACCCCAAGCCCCAAACCCTAGCTGAAGGATACATGCCGTAGACCCACGAGTAACCTAGCATTTTTAGTTTGAAGGGGGTTGTACCGGAAGCTAAACCCTAACAAAAGAGAATATCTGGGCCTACTCCGGGTTCTAGTTCCCCCAAACCCCAAACCCCAAACCCCAAACCCTAAACCCCAAACCCCAAACCCCAAACCCCAAACCCTAAACCCTAAACCCCAGCTTGATGGACTCATGTAAGGCTCTCAGCGACGCAAGTCTTCACGACAGCGCAACGGCGCTTCCTCAGCGTGCTGGCGCGCCGGTCTAGCGTTCTAGGGTTAGGGGTTAGGGTTGAGAGCTTATGGCTTAGGGTTTAAGGTTCAGGGTTCAGGGCCTAGGGTTTAGGGTTTAGGCTTTGGGGTTTTGGGGTTTGGGCTTTAGGGTTTGGGTTTTCGGGTTTCGGGAAATATTGCTGGTACGGCTTGTGCAACTCATATATTAATGACAGCTTTGTCGTTAACCATAAGTCAGAACAATAACGGTGTGCAACAACAAGTCTCCATAATGATACTCTTATCCTCTCCTACTCCCTCACAACAATAACAACAACTACAGCGGTCAAAAGAAAGTAGGAACCAACAAAAGGAACGAAAGTGCTGGAACATGAAAATAATGATAACAATGGTAGGAAATTCCAAATAATCACCTTTCCTTCCCCTAAGACCTAAACCCCGAAACCCTAAACAACAAGTAGTTAGGGGCATCCAGGCCAAAAGGCGGAGCCGGATTCTTTGGGGATCCTGACCCCAATTCTTCGGTGGGTTTAGCTGAGGGCTCGAGGGGCTTGGGGTGTTTAGGGTTGTTGGGGCTTAGGTCTCCCATTTGCTTAGCCCCCAATAAAATACAGAAACATAAGAAATAAAAAACAAGATACTTACAAGGGCAATACTGATTATCATCCTTGTTTTTTTTTTTTTTTTGGGGGGGGGGGGGGGGGGGGGGGGGGTGGGGGGGGCTCTTTAGCAAACAGTAGGTTGGAAGGGCTAGGGCTTGGAGGTTCTGAGGCCAAGGAAGATGACGCTTCAAGCCTTGCTGGGGGCCGGTTTTTGAGCACAAGCTTCGTGATCAACTCGTTGTGATACTCACTGTTCGGCTCAACACAGACGCCGTCAAACTTCAGGCAGTGATCAGCGAAGTAGGTGTTGCTGATGTAGCCTTGCTTTTGCTACGCTAAGCCCGCAACACCCCAAACCCTGAAGACCCCAAACCATCCTTAAGCCCCCCCCCCCCCCTACCCTGAACAAAAAACAAAAGCTTTCAACCCCTCAAGCCCAAAAACCAAAACCCCTCCTACACCGCTATTATACCCTACATCTACCCCCGTCGAACCCTAAACGCTTAGCTGGAAGAACCTAACGAGGTTTATAGGGGGGCTCACGCGGTTTGGTACCTGGAGAAAGGAACACTTTCGAAAGACAGGTGGGCATTTGTTTTCTTTGCTTAAGTACTTTGCCTCTGCTTTGACTACATGATACTATACATACTTATATCATATGTACATATATATATATATGTATATGTATACGTATACTGCTTTTTCGCGGGAGGGAAAAGCGGCGGTATCCTAAACCCTAAGCCCGAAACCCTAAATTTTGAAAGCTCCCATGTCCTTGGGGAGCACATGAACCCCAACATTGGGGTCATATACCCTGTACTAGTACAATTCCGATGAGGGTAATATGAATCCAAAACCCTGAACCCTAAACCCCAAACCCTAAGCCTCAACCCCAAAACCAATTAACCCTATGTACCCTACACTACCCTATTCCTGTGAACCCTAAACCCTAAACCCTAAACCCTAAACCCTAAACCCTTTTGGGGTTGGTTGGGTCCCAAGGTTGGGGGAACCTCCCAGATGTGAGACGCGTGGCGGTAGTCATGGGCTGCCAGGTCCAAGTACACCCCCGGCCTTGACAAAGAAGGGCTGAGGATTCAGGGGGTTTAGGGTTTAGGGTTTAGGGTTTAGGGTTTAGGGTTTAGGGTTTAGGGTTTAGGGCTAAGGGCTTAGGATTTGCGTTGGCTTAAGGTTTGTGAGGCTTAGGAGAGCTCACGATGTAGGGCTCACCACAGCAGCCCAAGGCTTGCGTCCAGGGATCGCAGATGACAGGTTTTATGCACCCTAAACCCTAAACCCTAAACCCTAAACCCTAAACCCTAAACCCTAAACCCTAAACCCTAAACCCTAAACCCTAAACCGGGGGGGCCCCTAAACCCTAAACCCTTAACCCGAAGCCCTTTGGGCTTCTTTTAAGGGGAAAGGCCTGCCTCGACAGATGCCTCCACAAGACTGTGTAGAGGAAGACGTCCTGCAAGCCTTTGGGCTTGAGAAGAGACTCATGGGGTCCTTGAAGGAGGGGGGAGTTTAGGGTTTAGGGTTTAGGGTTTAGGGTTTAGAGTTCAGGGTTTAGGGTTTAGGGTTTAGGGTTTAGGAATTCGGGTTTCGCAGGGGGGGTGTGGAACCCAGGCCCCTAATACCCGCCACTCCCTACGGCTCCTTAAGCTTCTCTAAGGTTCCCCAGGTACCCCCTAGCCCTAAACCCTAAACCCTAAACCCTAAACCCTAAACCCTGAACCCTAAACCCTGAACCCTGAACCCTAAACCCTAAACCCTAAACCTACCCCCCATGAAACCCCCCAACCCCCACTCAAAGACCCCTTGTTGGGTCCCTTGTATAATCCGGCACACATGTTAATAGAACAAGGAGCCAAAAAGGAACCCGAATTCTGGACAAAAGTCTCCAATGTACTTTAGCTTAAGGGATTTGAGCGGTCTATATTTGGGTTAAGGCTAGGGGGTAGGGTTTGCGAACACCCCTCGCCTCTCCCTCCTATCTGTTAAGCACCATCGTTTACAGCAGCAAACGGAAAGTCCTAGTACAGGGTACTGAAACATGACGAGTCGAACCACATTAGGGTCTTCAGGGAACCGCCAGTTTCTGAAGCCCTGCCTTGGCTCACAAAGCCTCTGCAGGTCCGCTCCTTGTTCCTTCTGCAATCTCCGCCGTTGGACTTGTGGTGCTCTCTCAGCACCTCCGAAGGGAATACACGCGCGCAAACCTCGGGTTTAGGGTTTAGGGTTTAGGGTTTAGGGTTTAGGGTTTAGGGTTTAGGGTTTAGGGTTTAGGGTTTAGGGTTTAGGGTTTCGGCGGTTTAGGCCTACAGAAGCGCCTTGGTGCATGCATTCCCCCATGCCTTGCCTCCGAGCGACGACCGTAAATCCCCAAACAACAGAAGGCCAAATCCCAAGCGCCCGCACGGACCTACTAGTCTGCTGAGCTTGTGTCTTCACGTATACCCTAAGTCAATAGGCGTAACCTGAGCGCTTCATCCTCTAAACACCCTACGCCTCTAAAATTGAAAACTTGAACCCTATTAACCCTAAACCCTAAACCACCCTAAACCCTAAACCCTATAAACACTAAACCCTCTGCCTTGCGAAAGAGTTCTGGGCCAAAGGCATCGTCGTGGAAGCCTTGTGTGCTCATGGCAGACTTGCACTCCTTGCAGGACTGTACGATGTTGGGGTTTAGGGTTTAGGTTTAGGGTTTAGGGTTTAGGGTTTAGATGTTAGGTGTTTGCTTGTTGGGGTTCTTTGTTGTAAGGGCTCGTACTATTGCGGGGTCTCGTAAAGCCGTACATATCACGTGGGGAAGTCGGGTACCAGGAGGCTAACACAGACAGAACAGAAGCCGAAACAGTGAAAGGATAATGAACGTGATCGTGAGGGCTTAGTACCATGTAGTACTTGATAGCCCAGTAACCATATCATGAAAAGACTACCTTTTGGGGTTGGTTACTTTACAAGGGGACCCATGAACCTCCTAAGCCCTGAAACCCTGAACCTTTCTCCATCCCCCAAACTACCCAAATGAGGATGTGGCACTCAACACAGGGTCTCAGTCCCGAAGGTATATAATGTGAGAATGGCAGGCTTCAGGGCCACCCCCCCCCCCCCCCCCCCCCCCCCCCGGTTTGTTTTGTCGGCGTAGGCTTTGGCTTTCCGGGCTTGGGGTTTATGTCATGTGTGGGCTTCTCCCTGAACCCTAAACCCAAAACCCTCAACCCTAAACCCTAACCCCTGAGTGTCAGGATGTCTCAGGCCAGGTTTATAGTTCTTGTTGAATGAATGTCGGGAGCTGCCGTCCTCGGCGATGCTCTTCTTGACGGCGCTAGACATCTTGGACTCTTTGTGCAGCACCTGGAAGAGCAAATGAAGCTTATGTGGGCTTATGATCCTTAAAGGGGTTTATAGGGCCTTGGGTTGACAAACTACTTCCTTAATATAGGAGTTATAGTCATACAGGGGTATATGACCAACCCCCCACCCTTTTTTTAACAACACATCTTTTGTTTGGTGTTTTTTTTTTTTTTGGGGGGGGGTTCGCTTGGGCCCCAAGGCGCCAGCGAATGCAAGTGGCCGGACCCCGCAGCAACCTCGCCAGGCACCTCGCCTTGGTAGCCCAGTAACCTTATCATAATACGGGCACCCCCTAAACCCTAAAACCCTAAAACCCTAAACCCTAAAACCCTAAACCCTAAACCCTCAAACCCTAATACCCTAAAACCCAAAACCCAAAACCCAAACCCTAAACCAAAAGAAGGGCAAAAGGGTAACACTGGGCTAGCAAGTCGCTTGACACGTTGGCCATGCGGGCCAGGGCCTCATCCTGCGACTCCTCCTGGCAGCCCAGCAGCCATATTCCAGCAAGGGGACCCTTTTGGGGGGGTTGGTTTCACTTTACACCCCTAAACCCTAAACCCTGAAAAGAAGGCAAAAAGGTGCACCACCCGGGCTGCCCCAAGTCCTCCTCAGGCGACTCGGATCCCGGGGAGGAGCCCTGCAGCTGATCCAGTCGTGCCGAGACCTGCTTCACTTGCTCTGCAAGGGCCTGCACCGTGCCTTGGCGTCTTGGGATTCTTTCGTGGTTTAGGGTTTAGGGTTTAGGGTTTTCGGTTTAGGGTTTGGGGTTTAGGGTGTATGGTTTAGTGCTTAGGGCTTCGACCTTGTGCTTACACAGGTGCTTCACGCTGTCTGTGAACCTGGTGTTATTATAGCCCTCAACTCCAAATCCTAAGCCCTAAGCCCCAAGCCCCAAACCCTAAACCCTAAACCCCTAAACCCTAAACCCTGTCCCCCAAAATAACACAAAATGACACCATGAACAACTTCTGGGACAGAGTAACAAGACAAGCTCTGGGACAGAGCAAAGCAGGAATGTGGAAGCGCCGCCCTGAGACATGAACCTCCCGACAAGCTGCTTTCCACCTGCTGGATTCGGTCAGAGAGCCGCTTCTCCATCCATCGCTGATCCTCCGGCGCAAGTGCCGGGACCTTGGGTTCGGGTTTATTCCCGGGCAACCTAAAAAAGGAGTGTTCTGCGGGATGCGAACATGGCAGGGCCCTAAACACTAACCCCCAAACCCTAAACCCCAAACCCTGAACCCTAGCCCTAAACCCTAAACCCTAAGCCCTGTAGGGCTTTGGGGCGGCCTTGGGGTTGAGAGGCCTTCCATTCTTCAGCCGAAACCCTTAAACCGAGTGCTGATCGGGCTTCTGGGGCCTTGTGGGGCTTGGAGGGTTCATCGTGCTTACTGGGATTCTGGGGTTATGGGTTTAAAGGGGCCGCAGGGTTTATGGGGCTTCTCGGCCGCGTGCAAAGATCGTGACCCCATATAAGCCCTATAACCCCATGCGCCCTGTAAGCCCTGCACCACCTGAATATATAGGGTACCTCATCCTAACCCTAAGCCCTAAACCCTAAACCCACCTGAATAGGAGTCCCGGGGGGCCAGCTGCCAGGACAGCAGGGCCAGCGTGGCCAGAGCTCCCAGGAAGGCTCCCTTGCGGGAGGTCAGCTGGCACTCCTCACCCCCAAGGAAACTCGGGTTTAGGGTTTAGGGGGTTTAGGGGGTTTAGGGGGGTTAGGGGGTTAGGGGGTTAGGGGGTTCGGGGGTTCGGGGGTTCGGGGGTTCGGGGGTTCGGGGGTTCTTCGGAGGTTTAGGAATTAGGGTTAGGGGCTAGGGGTCCGCCGACCCTGGCGGCGTGTTGGATGGGAAAAGGAGAAAATTTAAGAGCCTCCGTGGAGCATAGTTGAAAGGTTAAACGCGTTGGTTAGGTCAAAAAAGGATGCCAAAGTTGGAAGTTGGTGCGGGGGGGGGGGGGGGGGGGGTAGGGGGGTAGGGGGGGGGGGGGGGGGGTGGGGGGGGCAGGGGGGGGGGGGGGTAGGATTGGGTGGTTTGGCCCTCATGGAAAAGCTGCCCGGGGACCCCTACCCCCCCCCCCCCGTTTTTAAAATGCGGGGGGGTAAGGAGGGAAAGAGGGAGGTTTTCACCTCCTTTTCCCATCCACACGCCGCGGCACGGGCGGACCCCCGCAGCTCCCGCAGGGAGGGTAGGCCCGGGACATACAACCCCCTCCACCCCCTCTGCCCCCCCCTACCCCCCCCCCCCCCCCCCCCCACCCCCCCCCCCCTACCCCCCTACCCCCCTCCCCCCCCCCCCCCGACCAACTTCCAACTTTGGCATCCTGTGACCTAACGAACGCGTTTAAACCTTTCAACTATGCTCCAGCGGGGTCGGCGGCTTGAGCCGGAGGCTCTTAAATTTCGGGTGTAGGTTAGGGTCTAGGGGTTTGGGGTTTAGGGTTAAGGGATAGCGGTTAGGGGTTAAGGGTTCGGGGTTTTGGCTAGAGGTTGAGGGTTTCGGAGATTTTTTTTGGGGCGGTTTGAGGGTTCAGGGTGCGGGTTCGGGTTCGGGTGGAGCTCGTAATGCAAGAAAGAGGAAGGCTCAGGAAGCTTCGCTTATCCTTAAACCAAATGGGGTTAATCTCTTCCAAATGATGCCATAAAAAACATGATAAAAACAGCTGGACCCTAAACCCTCAACCCTAAAACAACCCAACCCTAAGCCCTAGCCCTAAGCTCCAAAATCTAAACCCTAAATCCTGTAAACCCGAAACCCTGGACCCTGAACCCAGCCCGCCTGCGTGCCACCAGCGGATTTGGAGTCACTGGCTGCGTCGGCCATGTGGCGCGAGGCTTGGGGAAGAGGGCCCGTGACTGCCCAAAGTTTAGGGTTTATCCGGTTGATAGGGTCTACAGGGTTCATAGGGCTTATCAGGTTTGAAGGGTTTAGATGGTTTATAGGGCTGGTTCAGGGTTTTTGATAGCTTGAGGATCCACATTCGGGTTCCTTTCTTTTGGTTTTTCTTGGTTGGGGGGGGGGGGGGGGGGTGATTCAAGGGGTTGCAAGACAGAAGCTGCTTCGGACCGAGTTTACAACCACGCCCTGAATGTTCGCACGTGAGGTAGCATCTCAATGTGTATGTGCATCTGGGTGTAACCCTAAACCCTGAACCTTAAACCCTAAACTTGGCCCTAAACCCGAAACCCTAAACTCCAAACCCTTTGACTACTGAAGTTTATAGAAATGCTCATGAGTTGCCGGGTCTTTGAGGCTGGGTGGCCCATGCGGCTTCAGACTACTTCCCCAATTTCCTAGGGCCAGTAAGAATCCAGTATTTCTGCTCGGGGACCCATATGGGGATTTGCAAAATTAGGGGTACCTTTTTGGGGTCCTTAGTATAAGGGAATCTTACTATTTAGGGGGTCCATTTTAGGGCCCCCATATTTCAACAGCAAATATTGTTCCACCCCTCATCCCTTCTAAACCCGTTTAAAGCCTTGTGAACGCTAAGAGTCAAACCGCCAGAAAACCCTACACACCCTGACCCTAACCCTAAGCCCTAAGCCCTATACCCTAAACCCTAAACCCTAAACTGAGGGCGCCGAAGGCCCTGGCCACGGAGCTCGCCCATTGAGCCACGGCCTCACGCAGACGCCAGGGCTTTAGCAAGGCGGGGTTTCGGATTTAGGAGGCTTAAGGGGTTTAGGGTTTAGGATTTAGGGTTTAGGGTTTAGGGTGCAATGGAGGTGCAGGCTAGGGTTCAAGGGACCAAAGGGCGGGACCCTTCTAAGGGTCCCTTAAGGGATGCTGAAGGTTTGTTTAGGGGCTACTTCGGTTGCTAGGGACTATTTCAGGTAGGTATGTATATATATATATATATACATATACATATATATATATACATATATATATACATACATATTCATACATATATATATATATATGTATATATGTATATATAGTGGTTATATATGGGTTACACACAATAGGGGGAATACGACAAAGGGTCATATTCATCCTGTAGGTCCCTCCTTACACCCCTTCAAGGGTTTAGGGTTTAGGGTTTAGGGTTTAGGGTTTAGGGTTTAGGGTTTAGGGTGTAGGGTTTAGGGTTTAGGGTTTAGGGTTTAGGGTTTAGGGTTTAGGGTTTAGGGTTTAGGGTTTAGGGTTTAGGGTGCTCATCACATGAACCCGGTTCATGGCCCGCTGCCCCGCAGTCAAAATCTGGTGGTTCAGGTTTTTGCCTTCTTGTGATTTGAGCTTTTCAGGGTTTAGGGCTCAACTAGGGTTTAGGGCAGCTTCTTGTGATTTGGGTAAGCTAAGGGGTGGCTGCGGCCAGTACAGACCTCACAACCCTCAACCCTGAAACCCTCAACCTGAGACCCTAAACCCTAAACGCTAAACCCTAAACCCTCAACCCTCAACCCTGAAACCCTAAGCAGAAGCGCGGCTGAGACGAGCACCGGAGGGCATCTGAGAAGACCTGCGGACAAGCAGCTGTGGCTTGAGCTGCGGGGTTAAGGGTTTTTGGGGTTGTTTAGGGTTTTGAGGGTTTTTGGGAATCTTGGGGGTTTTAGGGCATTTAGGGTTTTGGGCTTTTAGGGTTGAGGGTTTAGGGTGTAGGGGACGTTGGGTTCTAGGGGATGAACTTATTGCCCCCGAACACTGAACCCTAAAGGTTGGGATTTCACGCTCAAAAACATCGGGGTTGCTTGAAGGATTCGCGTGAAGTCCACGTATAGACACAAGATATGGTGATTCATAAAAATACCGTCCTAAAGAGAAGCCTATTATAAATCCCTTGTTCACCCATAGGAACCTCGAAAAAGTCTCCAAGAAGGACCTTAGATCAGCCCCCCATGTCAACATACCCACTAAGCAGCATGATAGCTTGGAGGCCGCCCCAACATGTGACATGTGAGCCCGCTGCTTTAAGGGTAGTTACATGGTCCCTTCATATGGGCTCTTAAAAGGGGACCCCTTATATACTCCATATATACCCCATACATAAGAAGGAGCCCTACATCAGAACCCTTTTAAAGGAGGTACGGGACCCTGCTAAGGGCCCACGTAACTACCCTTTAACACACCACGAAGAACTCAGCATATCGTCTTTTGTGTAGCCTTTCGGCCTCCTCACCCTCGATCCTGCAAGAGTGCCCCGAAAAGCAAGACAAAATCATAAGCCCCCGTGCTATAGAGGGGTCTATCTATTTAAATAGAGCAGGGTCTCTCAGGCATACTTTATACTACGCTAGTCAACATATTTCCGGATTCTCGTTGAAGGCGACAAGTCTAAAGACAAATATACGGAGGCTTGCTGGCCATGGCTGTCCAGCTGCTCAACAACCACAACTCTCTGAAAATCAAGGCGACGCAGCTCCAAGCCCGGCATTCCATGCCCCCGAATCCCCCAGATCCCACGAATTGGGGCCACGTTCTTCATGAGGATACGGCACCATTGAAATTCCCACAAAGAAGGCACCGAATTGAGAGAACTGGCAAGCCTCGAGCCCTAGGTCCCAAACCCAGCAACCTTCAATCAAAACCTAAAGCCCGAAACCTTATCCGCCTCAACCCTATAAACCCGAAATGCCTAAATCAGAGAATGACCGGAAAAACTTTAGATTCCCCTAAACAAGTCCCCAAACCCTGTTAGCACTTCTTCGGCCGCGACCTTCGCAAGCAGGTTCCACATTGAGGGGTAGGACCTCGGCGCTGGCGCGTGACGGGCGACTGGCAGTGGTTTTGCAGGGTTTAGGGTTTCGGGTTTTGGGTTTCAACCTCTAAAACCCAGAGCCCCCAGGGGCTTGTAAAAGTTTTGCAGGGCCTGTAAGGGTTCAGAAGGCGTGAGAAGGGTTTATGAGAGTTTTTTGGTTTTCTACGACATCGTGGCTTACAAGGATGAGGATCAATTATGGACTCTCAGAGCTCATACTTAAAGGGTTTACGAGGGTAAGCTTGGAAACCCTCAACCCTAAAGCCTCAACACCCTCAACCCTCAAACCCTAAACGGTAAACCTAAACCCTATAAAGCCTAAACCCTAGGTCAAGAACTAGCCGAGGTTGCAGAGGTCGGGCAGCCCATGCCGGGTGACATGCTAAGCTGGGACCTCCGCTTGGCATTATGCCAACACACGCGATGGAACCATTCGCCTGCTGCCCGCCTACGACGCAGACCCTAAACCCCAAGCCCTGATGCCTACACCCTAAACCCTAAACCCTAAACCCTAATCCCTAAACCCTAAACCCTAAACCCTAAACCCTAAACCCTAAACCCTAAACCCTGTATTTAGAGTTCTCTAAATGATGGTCCGTTCTTGGGTGCCATAAATATTAGGGGCCGCCTTGCCACCTTGGAATCGTAGCCCCAAAAGGAACCATGATTCATCCTACAAGGAAGGGGCCTCCCGTAGTTCCAAGTAGAGTCATAAGGACCCTAAAGTGGCTTCGAAGGATCCTAACTTAGGTTAAACGTCCCATAGGTAATAGTTAGTATAACAAGGGGGGAGCCAGTGATGAACCTCATGAGCACCTTGCTCTTTCGCAAAGGGGCGTGCTTTGCCACGATGAAACAGGCGGAGGAGTGCCGTGACACAAGGACACCACCGAAGAAGCGGTCGTGGCCGATCACAAACTCGATGTTGTTTAGGGTTTAGGGTTTAGGGTTTAGGGCTTAGGGTTTAGGGTTTGGGGTTTAGGGTTTGGGGTTTAGGGTTTAGGGTTTAGGGTTCAGGGTTTAGGGTAGTTTAGGGTTTAGGGTTTATGGTTTAGGGTGCGCCACAATGAAGCAGGGGCGCTGCAGGTGCACCACGATCCGAATTTTCCCGCTGTTGCGCGCAACTGCTGTGCTTTGTGGTGCGTGGCTCTGTATCCCCACATCCTGAACACATCCTCTACGACCATGGGCATCACCTTAAGGGCCTGAAACCTTTCAGGTGGGTTTAGGGTTTAGGGTGGTGGGTCGCACCCTCGACCCTAAAGACTAGAGGCTTTCCAGCCCCGAAACCCTAGACTCCAAGCCCTAAACTAAACCCTAAACACCCTAAGCCCTAAGCCCTAAGCCCTAATGCCCAAAACCCTAAACTTTAACCACCCCCCCCCCCCCCCCCCCCCCCCCAAAAAATAGCAATAAAAACAATAATGAAACTCAACCCACCGAGCTGGGATGGTCACTTGCTGCTGCCGGCGGGAGGCTTGAACTGCCAGTTGATGGTTTATGGAGTATTACAGGTTTGCAGGGTTTGTAGGGTTTACAGTCTGTAGGGTGTAAAGCGTTTATACATGATACATCCCGGGCGGGGGGAGGGAGGGGGGGAGGGGGGGGGGGGGGGGGGAGGGGGGAGGGAAGGGGGGAGGGAGGGAGGGAGGGGGAGGGAGGGGGGAGGGAGGGGAGGGAGGGGGGAGGGAGGGGGGGGGGGGGTGAGGGGGACCATATCATGGTTAAGGCAACCCAGAACAAAAAAAAGGTAAAGGGTACCACTGGGCTACTCTCAACTATTGAAGCCCACTAAAACCGAACCTGGAGAAAAAAAGTATATACTTTTGAGGTACAAGTAGCTAGAATAGGAACCCAGAACCAAAAAAGTATTCAAGTATAGTACTCCAAAACCCAGTTGCAAGGGCTTATGGTCCATATATCTTAATAGGAATAGGAATCCCCTCCCCTTACTTTTTATTAAACCCCCCTACCCCCCTAATATTACCTAACATTGAACACCCCCCCCCCCCGCATACACTGTAATATCTCTCTACTGGAAGTATTCAATACTAGGGGGTACCGGGGGTTGATATATTAGGGGGAGGGGATTAGTAGTAGCAAAGGGTATATGACCACCCCATTATAAGGTTCATGTCGTCCCCAAGGCTATCATCGCTTTTTACACGGGACTAAACGCTCTTATCTGTTTTATAGACTTTTATCGGTCTACGCCCCAAAAGCCCGCTTTTGGCTCAGGTCCCCACCACAATCCCAATTGGCAAGTTCATGTTTCATCACAGCCCCAAACCCTAAACCCTAAACCCTAAACTCTAAGGACTGAACCATGCAAAGCAAGAGAAAAGTGGAGCCTCCAGAGAAGACGCCAAAGTGGAACCCAGCACCGCTTCATCCAACGCTGCCAGGTCCTCAGTAGACTTTGGGTGTGTGGTTTAAGGTTTAGGGTTTCGCGCGTACGCAACCTTACCACGAGCCTTCTACAGATATCTGCCGCCAGCGCAAAGGCCTCGCGACTTTGTCAGCTTGAGTGTTTAAGGGGCCAGGGGCTTGGAAGCTTGGATTTAGCCCGATGTACCTTTAACACCCTGGACTGTCCGGACCTGAGCCGTAATGTCCTAAAGGCCACGTTGAAGTCTACAACCTCTTCTATTCTTGGCTTGCAAGCAGGGTTTTCTCTTGCGCGGCATTCACGCCACTTACCTAGGGGCTTTGGGTTTTTTTTGCGCAGGGGTTAGTAGGGCGGTGCTGGGTCTGGGGCCTGTGGCAATTGAGGGGTTTGCAACAGCGGGCAGTGGAGCTGGAGCGGATCCAGCGTGGGTGTTGAGCTCCTGTTGATCTCCCCCAAGAAGCCCGTCTCTCTTGGGGTTTAGGGTTTAGAGATTATTTGTTTTACATTAGGGCACCTTCTGTGTTCTCTGCAACTTAGAATTTCGCGGACCCTGATTTAGAACCACTGTATGGCTTGCTTCTTGTTAAAAAGCTCTTCGGGGACCCTAATTTCTAGAACAACCCCTGAGTATGGGCTGTGGCTGTGGATCAATGTGATCTGGCATGGTGAGCTCGCACGGCAGCATTCTCTAGCGCACGCATGCTGATTGCACGACTCCCTGCAACAAAACCCTGCTTCCGGCTTAACTGCAAAGCTTCATTTCAGCGTCTTCTCTCGGGGAGGGCGCTTGAAGGTTTAGGGCTAAATACTGTCCTTTGTTCTCGGCTGGGCCCCGGGCGTCCAGCAAAGCCAGGCAAACAAAGCAGAGGCGCTTCGCGTCAACGCTGTCCGTCTGCGGTGCTGCCTGGACCGCGAGATTTTAAGGTTCGAGTTTTGTGGATGACGTTCCGCCCCTTAAACATGTGTACTGGCAACATCCCCAGTTGTATGACAACACCCTAACCCAAACACGGGGGATTGTTACTTGAGACTGAAAGACCATCATGTACTAGGTTGACCCTTAAAACCTTCTGAACAAATCCTACATAGGAGCCTTTTAAACCCAATAAGGGAAAACTGGTTCTTTGGTAGGGAATGCGGGAGTTAGGCCACTCTATGTATTTCTATATGCAGAGAAGCACAGCATAAGTGAGACAGTGTCTACAAGAGCTTTCACATATCGAGGTTGGTCCAAGGCGGGGGGGGGGGGGGGGGGGGGGCGAACAACCTCACTTCGTACCTCCGGCCTCTGCCAATAGCCCAGCCAGGCTTTGGGCGGCGCTTGTTGCAAACGTGGCCCTGGCTTCCATTTCTTGGGAGGGACTCAAGGAGGGGGTTTAGGGTTTAGGGTCCAGGGCTTAGGGTTTGGGGTGTAGGGTTTGGGGTTTCGGGTTTAGGGTTTGGGCCCTTCTAGGGTTCCGGGTTCAGGGTTGAGGGCCTGGGGCTGTTTGGGACGTGCTTACCTATCAGGTATCGGGAAATTCAAGCGTACACATGAGGCGATGTGTCTGTATGCATGTCTGTGCACATATTTGAATATCTCAGTATCTATCTCTCTGTCTCTATACATACATATATGTATATATTTATATATATGTGTACTGTATGTATGTATATATATATGTATATGTATATGTATACATACATGTGTATAATATATATATATAGATACTATATACTATATACGTATTCATTTTTGTATATGGAAAAACTGTATCGTAGGGCAGTAGGATGAAGGGACAACCAGCTTTGCCATAACTTTGGAGAGGTGTTTGGGGCAGGAATTGTCCGCATTTCGGATAGGCTTCCGTAGAACTTGAGGATGCAGTCGGGGTTTAGGGTTTAGGGCTACAGGGTGTAGGGTTTAGGGCTACAGGGCTTGGGGTTTGATGAAGTTTGCCCAAGACGGTGTCAACGAGCCGGTCTGACAGCCAAGGAGCTGGTCAGGGCTTGGGTTGACGGTTAAGGGGTCATCCCAGCTGTTCTGTTCTCAGCACCCGACGTAAAAGTTACAATGCTCATATAGTCCCTATTTTATCATGGTGACCAGCTAAAGAAAGGGATAGTATGATGTTCAATAATGATCAAGCTTTCGACATCCTCTTTTCAGCATGCGCGATGATGAAACTCATCCCCTCTTCCCGAAACCAATCCAATGAGAGATCATCTGTGTATCCATTACATACCGATGTATCTATTTATACGTGACCCCTAAAATAAACCCCTACAGAATAGGATTCCCTTATTATTAGGACCTCAAAAAGGTACCCCTAACTTCGGACAACACCATATATGTATGTCTACATATCGCCTGTATACTTGGAGGCTCATGGTACTTATTGGCCAAGTATAACTGTACTGATAACTGTACTTATAACCATATTAGGCACTTAAGGGGCTTTTACGTGGGTTTCTAGGTACAGTCTTTCATGACAGGATCTGTGTCCATGGGCTTTGCGGCAGTCCGGTATGCTCTTGGACATAGCCTACGAGCAAAGACTTTTCTGTGCTTGTCATGACGCGTCTGGCTCCGCCCGTGACACCTTCTGCTTCTTGCGGCCCGCTGCATGCTGTGTGTTCTGCTCCCATTCCTGCGCATTGCGCTTCCTTGCCCATGTACCCTAAATCCTAAACCCTAAACCCTAAACCCTAAACCCTAAACCCTAAACCCCGAGTCTGCAGACCATCACCAGTTCGGCGATGCCTGGATGTTGACGCGGACTTTTTGAGCCCACGCAAGCTAGGCAAGTACCATGAACCTCCAAGTACGCCTTAAGCCCTTCCTGGGGCCCTGTTTACATACTGTTTTGAGGGTTTTACCTGCGAATTAAGGGTAGTTGCTACAAGACTGCAGGTAAATAGAGTCACAGGTATGCCCTGTGTATGCACCCTAAACCCTAAACCCTTAACCCTAGACCCTGTATACTCATTACTTTTACACCCCTCATCCTGTTCTGGGGACCCCTGGCGGCTCGGCCAAGAGCCCGGGCTCTGCGGCAAGAGCCGCGCGGGCAAAATCCGCCACGGCCTCGCGTTTTGGGGTTGGGGTCTAGGATTTAGGGTTTAGGGTTTAGGGTTTAGGGTTTAGGGTTTGGGGTTTGGGGTTTGGGGTTTGGGGTTTGGGGTTGGGGGTTTGGGGTTTTGGGGTTTTGGGGCTTAGGGTTTAGGCTCGGAGCCTTGTGCCGGAGGTTCATGGGTTATTAAGTACCTCAAAGAGGGCTATAAGTGTAGCTACCAGCTACCATACTTATAACCTATTACTGCCAACCACTGGTAAGCGACCTATGCCCCAAACGAATACATGGGTAGCTCTTTAAAATTCTAGGATCCCTTGTTGGGTCCTCTCTCTGTCTATATATGTATATATTTACATGTATAGAGTACGGCACCCTTATGATAAGGACCCCCCAAAAAAGGGACCTACCTTAGAGAACTGCCCCTAAACAAAAGCACTTCGAACACCCCAAAGCCTATGAGCTGGAAGGTGGCCGCCCTGCCTGTACGGGGTGAGTGACGAAGTGTTCAGTACTTCCAGCTACGGCTCAGGGTTGAGGGTTCAGGGTTCAGGGTCCAGGGTTCAGGGTTTAGGGTTTAGGGTCTCTCAAACTGCCTCAAGAGGGCTGATTTAGGGACTTAGGGACTTAGGGCTTGGGACGTAGGGACTTAGGGACTTTTCGGGACTTCAGCAGCTGAGCACGCGGCACATCGGAAGGACCGTGGTTGTTCCGAGTCACCGAGAACCTTGCTGCACCAGCTAGGTTTGGCTCTGTGCACTTCTGAACATTTTCCTGAGCATGCCCCTTGTAAACCCAAAACCCCTTGCAGGCGCTTAAGCCAGGACCTTCTGAGCCCCTGACCCCTTGGAAGCTCTAAACCCTAAACCCTGAACCCTAAACCTTAAACCCTAGCCACAAAGCCCTCGACCCAAAAGCCCCAAACAGCTAAACCCAAACGCCTGAGCCCCGGGCGCTAGCGAGCCTCTTGGACAAGTGTATTGAGAGCGTCGCGGCAGGGGTGGCCTGCGAGTCAAAATTTAGGGTTAAGGGGTTTCGGATTTAGGATTCAGTTTAGGGCAAGAGTAGGGTTTCGGGTAAGGGTAAGGGTTTCGGATTTAGGATTCTAAGTTTAGGTTTGTACGGCTTTCTTGACCCTAAATCTGAAGTGGAAAGCGTGCCCTAGGACGGACGGCTGGACTGTGTTTGGCAGCGATCGGGCGTTGGCCGCGATAAGGTCGTTAGGCTCCAGGAAATTAGGTTTACTAGGCTTTGGCATGTTAACAGGAAGGTCTGCAGGTTGTGGGCTGGGGTTTAGGAATATAGGGTTTCGGGATTCAGGGTTCGAGTGTGTGGGGTTTGGGGTCTACTTCGGGAGCCAAATGAACCCTAAAACTGGGGTCAGATACCCTGCACAGGGACAAACCCTAAACCCCAAACCCGAAACCCTAAACCCTAAACCCTAAACCCTAAACCCTAAAATGAACCCTAAAACTGGAGTCAGATACCCTGCACTACCATAATTCCTGCTGAGGTATATGAACCACAAACCCTTTCGGTCTCCAAGGTACAGGAGTCCCTAACCCCCCAAACCCTAACCCTAAACCCTAAACCCTAAACCCTAAACCCTAAACCCTAAACCCTAAACCCTAAACCCTAAACCCCAAACCCGAAACCCTAAACCCTAAACCCTAAACCGACCAGCTCGTCGTCTAGCGGTTGGGTGTCCAACACTCCTCTCTGCGCAAAGATAAGTTTAGGGTTTAGGGTTTAGGGTTTAGGGTTTAGGGTTTAGGGTTTAGGGTTTAGGGTTTAGGGTTTAGGGTTTAGGCGTGGTAACTAGGATGGCCCGTAGAGCTCTGTGAACAATATTCCTGAGTGTGATCCTCTTAAGCCCAATAAGGGAAAATACAAAATATCCCGGGGCCTGCCTGGGTAATACAAAACTTCTAGTTGTTTAAGAACCCCAAAAGAATAAAAAATATAATAATCCCTATATTACCTTTAATAAGGAAGAATACTTTTTCGGGGTTCTTAAGCAATTAGTAGAAAGGGGCAAGGGGGTCGAGGCTTGCCACGATGCCTCTGCCGAGGCGGAGGGAACGGAGAGAGACGCGAGCCTCGGCACGTTCGCTTCGGCAGAGAAACTGGGGGGTGGGGGGGGGGGGGGGGGGGGGGGGGTTTAGGGTTTAGGGTTTAGGGTTTAGGGCTTAGGGCTTAGGGCTTAGGGCTTAGGGCTTAGGGCTTAGGGCGTGCAAGGGTCACTTGCAGTTTCTTAGAAGGTTTCAATCAGGCTCAAGCCCGATGGCTCCAGGGTTTGGGGTGAAAGGCCCACTTACGGTGTCATAGGGGGTTTCACAGAGCCTCAAGCCCTGAGCCTCTATGCGTTGGAGCTTAGGGCTTCAACAAGATTTAAGGACTGAGGGCTGAAACACCACTACCCTCAGGCTTAGAGTTCACGAGGTTTCGGGTCGCCGTGTTGCAATTGGGTTCAGGGTTCAAGCACTTGTCTTTTTAAAAAATTGTATTGGGCAGTTGGAGGTTCAGGGTTATCCCCCACTTCAGAATCCCTGAAGTGCATTATTATGGTTGTAAGTGGGTCATGAATGCAATTTTTACTGGGTGGAAAAAGTACCCTGAACCTTAAAGAAGGGAATGACTCTTTCCACATTAGCGTGCCATTGTACGATATGTGGGTACTGATGACGATCTTGCAGATACGAGGGTTGCGCCGTTTGCACGGATGCGGAGGGGGGTGGGGGGTGGGGGGTGGGGGGGAGCTTCGAGTCGCAGATGATGAATTCTGTTGAAGCCAATCGTGCTGAGTGTGGCCGCAAAATGAGCGAGAGCTACTCGGATGAAAGTGTGACTGAAAACAACCCAGACACGCAGCAAATGGCAGTGGCAATCGCTTACAATGCTTCCGTCGCTCCGAGACAGGCGCCCGTGCAGGACGGAAAGATCGTCTGCCCTAAACCCCAAACCCTAAAAAGCTTCGTAAGGTTTGGGGGGCGCTGAATCTAAGGCTCTCCGAACATCCCCCTCCAAGGGCCAACCCCAAGTTCCTTTAGGTCTTATACATTCTTGGGGTGCGATTTCGTGGCAGGTTTTGGAGCTCAATCCCAGACACCCCACAGAGCCGAACCCTCCCTAAACCCTAAACCCTAAAACCTAAACCCTAAACCCTAAACCCTAAACCCCGAAAAAAACAGAAAAAAACCGAAAAAGCCAAACCTCTCAACCCGAGAGTCTCAGCTGCTGACAGCCGGGCCCGACCTCGAGCTCGCAGCGAGCCAAATGTGTCCCAAGGGAATTGTTTTTCATTCGGGTCCCTTTTTGGGTCCTCTATATGTATGTATGTATGTATGTATGTATGTATGTATGTATGTATGTATGTATATGTATGTATGCATGTATGCATGTATGTATGTACGTATGTACATATACATATACATATACATATACCTATACATTTACATATACATATACATATACATATACATATACACAATACATATACATATACATATATACATATACATATACACAATACATATACATATACATATACATATACATATACATATACATATACATATACATATACATATACATATACATATACATATATATATATATATACACATACATATATACAGATAAAGAATATATATGTATATCGCACGGCACCCATAAAAGATGGTCTTTTGGACATTCCACTGGGTTACTGGCATCCAGCGTTGGCGGCTCCGTCCAACTGGGCGTGGCGCATGTCCGCTCCTTGGGGCCATTAGGGTTGAGGGTCTCAGGTTTAGGGTTTAGGGTTTAGGGTTGAGGGTCTCAGGTTTAGGGTTTAGGGTTTTTAGGATCTAAGGTTTAGGGTTGAGCGTCTCAGGTTTAGGGTTTCGGGTTTAGGGCTTAGGGTTGAGGATCTAAGGTTTAGGGTTCAGGGTCTAAGGTTTAGGGTTTTGGCTCTGGTCTTCAGCAGACCCTGGCATCAGAATATCCTTTGTCTTGCTGGCTGTTGGGTTGCACAGTTAATATCCCCTGTAAGGGAGCATATAGGGTACCAAACTCCTTCATTCCATAAACCCCAGACCCCAAAGCGTAAACCTACACCCTAAACCCTAAACCCTAAGACCCCTAAACCCTAAACCCTAAACCCTAAACCCTAAAACCATAAACCCTAAAACCATAAACCCTAAACCCTAAACCCCTAAACCCTAAACCCTCCCTTAAGCAAAAGGCCCCACAAGGTTCCTCTGAGGGCATCCCTCTGGGCTCCCCCGGCTGCACCAGAGAGCCGATAGGCTCACCAAGCACCCCGCAGCACCTTCGGCCACGGAGGCCTCCGTACCTGCTCTCAGGTTAGGGTTTAGGGTTTAGGGTTTAGGGTTTAGGGTTTAGGGTTTAGGGTTTAGGGTTTAGGGTTTAGGGTTTAGGGTTTAGGGTTTAGGGTTTAGGATAACATTGAACCGGCAGCCATGGACAACGTAAACTGAAGCATCACGGACCTAAGCGTTCAACAAATCAAATCGCACCTGAGTTTGTCAATACGACCCGTGTGATTAATTTTAACGGGGCCTGCTTTGGCATACCTAGCATGGCAGCAAAAGGCATCTACAAAGTCGAGGCGGCCTAGATAAACACGAGGTTGGGCCTCAAAACTCTCTGAAAAATACTCCTAAACAGGAGGCTATTAAACGCAATAAGGGAAAATATGAGATATTGTCAGGGCCTACCTAGACACGGCAAAGTACACAGCCTGACCTCAGGCTCTTCGCCTTCCCGGGGCGACCACACGGCCACTCGGCTGTGTGTGAATCGACAAAGGCGCAAGCTGCCGAACACGAAGCCGAACGACCTGCTAAACCTTCAACCCTAAACCCTATACCCTGAAGCCCAAACCCATTCCCGTATGCGGATTACCCCTTGAGTCCTTGAAGTGCAGGCCCACCCCCAGGCAACCAAAACAAGGCACCTACGTGCATATATATATATATATATACATATCATATAATCTATAAGAGGGAAATTTCTAAACCCTAAGCCCTAAACCCAAAACCCAACCCAAACCCCGAGAGGGCACAGCAGATGTGGGCATAGAGAGACTGCACCAGATCAGCGCGGCCGCTGGGCAGTCCCTGGCAGGGTGGACGGAGGGCCCGGCAAAGGGTTTAGGGTTTAGGGTTTGAGGTTTGGGGTTTAGGGTTTAGGGTTTAGGGTTTGGGGTTTGGGGTTTGGGGTTTGGG